GCTCACTGCAACTTTCTCCTGCCGGGTTCAAGCAATTCTCCTGCCTCAGCCTCCTAAGTAGCTGGGACTACAGGCGCATGTGGCCACTCCCAGCTAATTTTTTGTATTTTAGTAGAGTTGGGGTTTCACTGTGTTGTCCAGGCTGGTTTCAAACTCCTAAGCTCAGGTAATCCACCTGCCTCAGCCTCCCAAAGTTCTGGGATTACAGGCGTGCGCCACCGTACCTGGGCCCATTTATATCTTTTATATGATCTGTTTCAAGGGCACAAATGGAGCTCCCAGTCAGATGTCCCTACCCTTTTTTCTCCCAAAAACTACAAGGGACCTCATGTGCAGGTGTATGAACAGTCTGACCTACAAACTCCGTCAACACCATCACAGACAGCAACCTTGGACCTCCCACATTCCCCCATACTGTTGTGCCTGGTGTATTTATATCCATGGCTTGGTGCACCCTCAGGAAGGTGGATCCAAGGAAAAAGTCCTGCTCAAGCCCTAGGAGTGGACTCAGGGTCTTTGAGTAGGGAATTCTGGGATCTGGGTACAGAGACAAGAAGGAAGAGTGAGATCAAAGAAGGAAGATCCTGTTGGCTCTGTGGACTCCTTGCCTCATATAGAGGCATTTGCCGAAAGAGAACAGAGTGAGGAACTCCAAAGGACCTGGGCCCAATGATCAGGGCTAAGGGTACCATGGACCAGGCTGATTGACACTCTGCATTGTGGACCTGGCTTTTGCATCATTTTGGTTTTGAGCTGTGGTGATGATGCTCTGGATCAGCACAAGCACAGGGTGTACGTCCTGGGAGTGTGTGTGTGTGTGTGTGTGTGTGTGTGTGGTGGCCAGGCTTTCTAGATGGTTCCTACACATCAGTGCCCCACCCTCTCTTCAGGGGACTTTAAGTATGGGGGTCCATGTTTCCAATAAGGACAGAGCATGCTGGATTCCTCCCAGACAAGTTCTGTGATATTATCATGGACACAGGCAGATCACAAGCAATGCATAGATCAATGATAATTGTTAAACATCATTAGCTACCAGCTTTCCCCTTTCTCTCTTCTCCATGTGGATTTTATTATTGTCCCTGAAAGTTCTGGGTCTAAATGTAACGTTTCAAGAATCAGGTAATTGTGGCTAAATACTGCTTTTTTAAACTGGGATTCTAGGAGGATCCTGAGATTGTGAAAACTGTGCCTGGAAAGTTCCTTTCCTCGCAATGCCTTTTTTTCTGAATGGAAAAATTACCTAATATGTCAGTAGACATGCATAATGGATTGACAGATTAATTTTCCATTTTCTTTGGGAGTTTGTGTAGGGGAGTGATTCCTGTTGTTAGGCAGGATGACTTGGTGGGTTAAGGGCTCTACTAGGAAGTGTGGTCTGCCACTGCTACTTTGGACTAGTAACTAAAGCTTTCATGTCTCAGTTTTCCCATCTGGAAAAGTGAGCAATAATAGAAAAACAGAAAAGCATTACTGTGAGGTTAAAATGAACTGATGCATGTAGAATGCTTATAACAGTGCCTGAGACACAGTTTGCATTCTGCTGTTAGCTTGTGTGTGTGCATGTGTGGAGCTATCTTCAACTATATTTCAGAGGAAACTACTCTGTGAGGTTGGGAGGAATGAAAAGCAAAAGACTCTGTCTTGAGCATGACACTGAATAGGTGCTGAGGCTAAGAGGACAGATGTAAATGGCGCTGGTTCCCTTATGACAACCTTTGCATGCCCTTTGGCTTGTCTGCATGTTACTCTCATCAAGTAGGACCTGGTGAGCTTAGCTGATTAGGACATTAACCATTTGTGTGCTGGGTGATCACAAGTCAGATTTTGTGACTGTTTTTCAGGTCATTGTCTTTGTTGTGTGACTTTGGTTTCTTCCATGGTCCTGGTCTATTTTATTTATCAGGTTGTTTACTAAAAGTTCTCCTGGTCTCTGGGATTGTCAGTCAGTTTGTGCTTCATTTTCTCTTTTAACTTTCTTTCTCACTCTTTAATTGTGAGACCTTTAAAACATAGACATCTTATCCTTAAAAAAAAAAAAAGGAATTGTAGTGAAACACACATGACATAAAGTTTGCGTTTTAACCATTTTTAAGTTTATACTTCAGTGAGGCTAAGTACATTCACATGTTTTATAACCATCACCACCATCCATTTCCAGAACCCTTTACATCTGGAATAATTGAAACTCTGTACCCTTTCAACAATAACTTCCCATAACCTTACCTCCCTCTAGTGCCTGGCAACCACCATTCTAGTTTCTGTCTCTATGAATCTGACTGTTCTAGGTACCTCAAAAACGTACATATTTTTGAACAATAACATAGCCCTTGAATTCAAAGATTTTTTTTTAATAAGATATTTGTTTAGGACTTTTAGAGATATTCATGCTTTCTTTTTGTAAAATTACTTATTTATTCCAGCCTTACACAACCACTATGATTGGAGTCTCTTTCCACTGGCATCTTTACAGTTTAACTCCAAAGAAAGTAATCTCTAGCCTTCTGTAAAAATGACTGAAGGTTAACATGAGAAGTGAAACACTGAAGATAAAAAGGGAAGTGTCCCTCAACTACACTCCCTTTTTCTCACTCCCATAGCCTGTAAATGTTGGCTGAAAAATTGTGCCAATATCAAAACAGACCTTCACAGACAACCTAAAATTTTACCACTGGAATCACTCTCCTTTCTTGACATTATGCCTGATGCTCATTTTTCTCTGTGCCATGCTTGATATATCTTGAAGCTGGAGCAGAAGTATTAGTTCCAAAAATTCTCTTCATATGGAATGATTTGTCCTGACTGGAGGCCAACAGCTTTCAAAACTGTATTCTGCTGTGATTCGTGCTGACTTGAATGCTTTTTAGAATTCTTACAGTCCAGTAGAATCACTGGAGATTCTTCCTCAAGAGTCATAAATGGGAAATTTATTGGCCCGAAATAACGGGGAAAGAGGAAAAAACATTTTTTAAAAAACATGATAATTTGAATGTTAGATTGAAGTTTCAAGATTTTACTTTTCTATGAACATTCTCTCTGAAATTAAAAAAAAAAATTATAGATGAAATTACTTACTAACCCATTTCTTGAAAACAGCTAGAATAAGGTAATTCTGTAGTGTCAACATATTGTACATAAAGACCATTTAATCTTTACGGAATGAATGTTAAAAAATGTCACAATCAGTTTTTCATCAGTATTTTAATTATAATTATTTTATACAATAAAATGAATAAGGCAAAAATCAGAGGGAGCAAGGAATTAAAAAAGATGAGAACTCCAACTAACCCTAATGGTTGGCATAGTTGCTGTAACTGAGTGCAGCATTTGTCCCCAACTTCCTGGCGGTGAAAAGAGAAGCTCATTATTAGGAAGGAGAATGCCTGCTAATTCCACAGGAACACAGCTTTGTCTGGCACTATATTCCAAAAGGAATTATTTTGCAGGAACAATAAGTGATGTAATGCATAGCTTTTATGAAAAATCCAGAAGTAGGTTTCATTTTCTTCTTCTTGAGAAAGCCAGTGAAAGTTGGGGGAAGTGACAAGGACATCAGTTCTGCAAGGAGGCTAAAGTGGTCCAAGAATTTAATCTCCTCTCCCAGGGCTGTAATTATGACACTGATACAACTCAGGATGTTACACTCCCATCCTCACATGCCCTTTGCTGAACCAGGCTTTGATAGAAGCTGGACTGCAGATGATTCAAGGTTGTCCCTTTTGACCAGAGCCTGGAAAATTTTAGTCTCTGTTGCTTGTTAAGGCCAGATCTGTTCTCTTTGAAAACCAAACAAGCAGATGGTGGGGGCTGACATCCTTTTACAAAGACCAAGCAGCTTGGTCTGTGTGCTCATTCAGGTGGAAGCTACCCTATCTGAGTATGAAGATGAGCTGCAGAGGTACCAGCAGAGATGCAGCCTTCCTGGGGGAAGCAGCCCTGTGACTGCCCCAGAACTTAGACAAATGCTTGATTGAAATCCCAGAGTTCCACCCCACAGAGCAGCAGTGAAGGTTTTGGCCTAGAAGCTTTAGGAGCAGGTGTGACCAGACGGCCTCCCCAGCTGTAGGAAAAGCTCCCTTAGGCTCCCGTGGTGCCTCCAACCCTGAGAGAGATGGTTTCCTTGTGAGCCTGCCAGGATGAATTAGCTGGAGAGGGCACCCCAAGTCACTGAATGAGCTGACTTGTATTTCTGATGGTTTCATATTGACCGATGTTATAGTACACCTGCCCCAAATAAAAACTGTGGCTTAAACATAAATTTTTAAGCCACTTTTTTTGGACAGTAGTTCAGTGTCATTTTTGTCCCAGAACTCTTCATGGTTTAATCTGGTAAACCAGTGTCATGGTACCTGTTTAGTTATTGTTTTCCTACTGACTGTCGTGGATTACTGTGACCTATGAAAGATCTGAGACGTAACTTAAAATATATAATGATATTAATTAAATTAGTTGGAAGAAAGTTGTCAGAAAAAAAAAAACAAAAAAAACACCGCTTGCTTCTCCTGGGAATTGTGTTTACCACTATACCAACTATCAAATTACCTTGGCTATGTCTGTGCCAGTTTTAGTTCATTTTTAACAACAGAATAAGTTTCCAAAATTTGCAGAACAGGTAAAAGTAACTTAAAGACAACGTTAATTTTGAATGGTTGTTTCTGTGTCATTTTACACACCGTTTCAGTGTGCTACTCTCTTGGTAACATTTATTTGATGAAGTTCATTTTAGAGATTGCTATAAATGGAACCTCTACACATCTCCTATTCATGTAGGAGATTAGTTGAAGCATTAAAGTCTCATGAGCCAGTATTAAATCAGAAGTCATAAAATCTTTCCATGGGCCAGTGCAAGATTGGAGCTTGCTCAGGATGGGATCAATTGGAAAAGGGGTCAAATGACCAGGAGCAGCACAGCTGATGGTTGCCAGGAAAAGATGCTAGTTTAGTTTCATGGACTTGCTGTTTTCTTAAGACAATATGAACATTCAAAAATTTTTAAATGTGAAAATTTCCAATTTTAAATGTTTGTGGCTAATAAAAATTTTCTAAAAAATAAAGCACCCTGGCAGACCAGCTCTAGACCACATGCTTTTTTGACTGTGACCTCTTTTGGTTGACCATCAATTGCTAAGATTTACCCATCATGCTACTTGTAGGCTGAGATCCAGTCTTAAACTTGCATGCAAGTCTATGCTAATAAGTCAAATTAAACTTATGGTTTTCTTATAGAGACCTATATATTTTATGTTTTATGCAGAAAGAAAATCTTAAGTTTTTTTTTTTTCTCATGATTTTCTCATCATAAACTGTGGTGGTCCCTGTTGGAAATCACCATATTGGTAGAAACAGATAAGAAAAATGTTATATAAACACTCAGAGAGAAATATAGAGTGTAATTTTTTTCTTTATAATATTTTGAAGATTTTTTTCTTATAATTTATGTACTGACGAGAACTGAGATATTATCAATTCAAATTTCCTTCTGCACTAGAGGCTGGGTGACATTAAGCTCACCAGCTAGTTAGTAAGCCAGCCAGGTCTTGAACTGGGTCTGTTCATTTTAAATAATGATTAGCGTTAATTGAAATTCTCATATGCATACTGGTTTTCTAATTTTCCCAACAACCCTAGGAGGCAGTTACTATTGTTACTGCATTTTGCAGACAAGGAAACTGAGGCATAGGGACTTGCCTCAGGTCATATAGCCAGTAATAGGCGAAGCTAGTACAGTATGTTTAGCCCTCATCCTGCACTACCAATTATTTTCCAGGCACTCAAATTCTTAAATTCCCAGAATATTTGGGTTGTTCTAATAAGCGGCATTGTGTAAGACTCTGAAGATTTCTTGGTTATCTCCTATTGTTGCTCTATATAGATGTCATACAGGACATCATCCTAAAAAGTGTCCTTGTTCTTTTCCATTGACTGTTGTGTTTGGGCTATGATTATTTGTAAAGGTCCATTGCACAGAAACTCTAGAACTTATTTATCATTGAAGGTGTTGGATTTACAAGTCCCCAGTCCTAGAGTGTGGTACAGCGGCTATGGGCTCAGGCTTCAGAGGCAGGTACATCTGGGTTCAAATCCTGTTTTGGCAGCTTTGTGACTTAGGGGAAGTGACCTGGCATGGCAAGGCCCCAGTTTCCTCTTCCGAAAAATGGGAACGGTCATGGAACTCTCCTGGTACCATTGTTTTGTTAGGAGACAGTCTCTGGGTAGCCTTCTGCTTAACAACAGTTAGCACTCCACAGAGAGGGAGTTACTGGTGCTACTTCAAAGATCGTGGCCAAAAAGAAGCTGAAAACGGAAAATGCCACTGCTGAACAGCATGCAGTGGTAGGCTCTTCACATTTAGATTTTGGGCTTGCTCATTTAGCATTCTTTTCATTCATGTCCTCACGGTTGGGGGGCATGCTCTCTCAAGAATAGAGCCACAGCTGAGGGTTCAATCTTGCACATCACCTGCACCTGCTAATGGACTGACTTTCAAAACTCTTTCTCAGCATTTTTGCTGAGAAATTGAAACTGCCTAGCTGTTGAAGGGACCAAGAGAAGTTTTTTGTTTGTTTGTTTGCTTTAAAGAAAAGGATTCTTCTGTTACCTATGAAAGAAAACTTAGAGCAGAGAGAATCTTGTCAGAGTTGAAATGCCATGACTGTAAGCCTGGACACTTGAGTTCTATCTTCTTTTATCAAATCTAACCTATCAATCAATCATCTCCCTATCATCTATCTATCTAGAGATGATAGATACATATAGATAGATGATAGATAGATAGATAGATAGACAGATAGATTCAATTTGATAAAAATCTATCTATCTATGTATCTATATATTGATCTATCTATAGGAAGGGAGGCTGAGGTAGCAGGGAGCGATTCCATTGTGAAGAGTCACCATCTGAAATATTCACAGCTGCTTCAATTTCATTTTGATGTGTTGCCAAAGTACAGTTCAGGTAATAGAGTCTAAAGGGGAATATTTCTTTTGAGTAATACCACTGTTAAGCTAATATACATAAAGAAAAGATGCAGTAGATACTACTCCTCATTGCTTGAAGAGATTACCTAGAGGAATTATTTGATAACTTGTTAAAGCAAATGTAAAATCTTTTGAAATGTGATGAAGACCCTTTTCAGGAATCTGTAATTCAAAAATGTTCCTGTGAATTTTCTCTAAAATTACCTCTTTTCTCTTATTTTCCAAAAAGCCAGCTATAAGCTTTTCGTTAAGCCAAAGAAGAGGAAATTCTTTACCCTCAGGAAAATGTCTTAGTAAAGGTCCTAAATGTCAAATTGAGACTGTGGAAGATTTGGTGACAACACAAAACAGGATGACAAATAGCATGTACTTTGTTTATGTTCTAATTCTTTTTTTTAATTTTTGTTTTTGAGACAGAGTCTAGCTCTGTCACCCAGGCTGGAGTGCAGTGGTGCAATCTCAATTCATTGCAACCTCCACCTCCTGGGTTCAAGTGATTCTCCTGCCTCAGCCTCCTGTGTATCTGGGATTACAGGTGTGTAGCACCATGCCTGGCTAATGTTTGTATTTTTAGTAGAGATGGGGTTTCACCATGTTGGTAAGGCTGGTCTTGAACTCCTGATCTCGTGATCCGCCCACCTCATCCTCCCACAGTGCTGGGATTACAGGTGTGTGTGTTTTTTCTAATTCTTATCTGTCCACTTTCTGATCACTTCAAAGCTTGAGCTCAATGCCCTTTCACCTTTTAAGCCTTTACTGACATGCCCAATTATTTAAATATATAAGTAAACATATATTTGTAATTATATTTTGTAGTTCCTTCCACTGCGCCTTCACAGGGCAGGCGCATACACTTCTGCTTAGAACTTTTTCTTTTTGGCTCATCATATCCTGTGGCAATGTCCACTGTCTCCCCTTAGAGCGTCATCTCCTTCAAGATCCAGGATCACTGGATCTGAAGAGTCTTGGAGGCCATTTCTAGTCTTACATTCCTGACACATAGGGGTTCTGTGGCAAACGAATGCTTACCTGCTGAGGGCAATTATTATTATTATCATTTTAGACAAGATATTGCTCTGTCACCCAGGCTGGAGTACAGTGGCACTATCATGGTCACTGTAGCCTTGACCTCATGGGCTCAAGTGATCCTCCCACCTCAGTCCCGCAAGCAGCTGGGACCACAGGCACCTTCTACCATGCCCAGCTAATTTTTAAATTTTGTGTGGACAGGGTCTTACTATGTTGCCCTGTTGCCCAAGCTGATCTCGAACTCCTGGGCTCAAGCAGTCCTCCTGCCTCAGCCTCTCAAAGTGCTAGGATGACAGATGTGAGCCACTGTGGCCAACTGGTTTTTATAATTTAAAAATAAGTAAATAAGTAGCTGGTTTGAATATGTTGTATTCTGTTAATCTGAATTAGCTTTTGGATTGGGCAAAGTTTGGGTTCAAAATCAGCTTTCCACCCCCCTCTGTTATTGTCTTTCCTTTGTTTTCTTGTTTTCTGCATGAGAAATGAAGCTATGTCCTAAGATGATAATAAACGCCAGGTGGAAGGTTAGTGTACCTTTTTGAGTGCCCTAAGTCAGCAGACATTCCTTGAGCATCAGCTCTGTGTTAGGAAACAGAGGTCAGTGAGATGAGTGAGACCCTTACATTTGAGGGGCTAGCAATTCAGTTATGGAGTCAGATAGATTAATAGAATAAAAAAATTGAGAGTACAACGAGTACTTCCCATTGCTCTAATTCTTAATTGCAAACTTACAAGTGCAATGAATGCTAAAAATGCTTGCCAACTGATGGAATACAAATATTCTGATTGGAAAAAGCATTTTTGGTGTTGCCTACCAATCACTCAAGCGGTCTTGGAGAGCCCTGGGATAGATTTAGAAGTGTACATTGAGAACACCCTAGCATATGAGATTCAATCTTTAGGGCAGTAGTTAATGGCCTTGAGATGTAGTAAATGTGCAAAAAACAACAGCAAAAACAGCCCTCATAAAATGAGGTCCTAGCAAGAGTCCTGCATATGGACTTGTTAAGGGAGGAAGGCACATTCTGGGCAGAACAGGATGGTTGAAGGCCACCAGTGATTCCTGGCAGATTACTAATAAAGGGTGAGGGCCAGGGAGCCTAGAAGGCTGAGGAAGTGAGAGAAATTCCTAAGGAGTACCAAATTTAACAACAACAACAAAAATCCGAATCCACCATATCTCTTGGTCACTATTTAAGGGCCACTGACTTGCCTAACAGAGCATGAAGGTGACGTCTACTTGGGGGTGGAGGGAAGCTCAATTTTCTGAGAAGCCCAAAGCTCCATGGACCTCATGAGAGATTCCTGTAAGGCAAGTGCGGGGACATGGGCTCTGGGGGTGGAGGGGCTGTGCCTGGAAGCCCCTGGGCCTAAGCTTTCTAGAGCAATGGGCCTAGGTTGGAGGAGACTGAGGTTGATGTGGAGAGAAAGTTTCTGGTTGGGGTGTGTGCCACAATTCCGGGCCTTCCAACTGCTCACTTAGGAGAATGGCACCCTTTTTGGAGACGTGTTTTATTAAGCAGAGCTTAACTCAGTAAAGAGCCCACAGTGTCACTGCACTTTAACAGGGGCAGTGGAGAGTGGTTTTCTGGGGGAGAGACTGCAGCTTGCCTGTCGGTGGCCCTGACCTGGCTCTTCCTCTCTCCTTCCTAACCCTGTGCCTTTGAGATCAGTCACCCTGAGGCAGAGAGCAGGAGAGGCCGGGGGCTAGGGAGATCCTCCCGGAGGCAGTTGGAAGTCACCAGGAGAGGGCAGCGCAGCATGCACCTTGGTCTTCTGTTTCTGCCCAGAGGCTGTGGGGCAGGGAAAGAAAGCTGTTAGCTGTTTGCTGTTTGGGTGGTCCGGAGAACCAAGAACTTGAGCCCAGGTGTGTTTGTCCACTGAGTCTCTGAGAAGCCCTGGGGTCTGGCTTTCCTGCAGTTATTTCCTTCGTATGGTTGTTGCAGTCTCTGTCTCTCTTTCCCTCTCTCCCTCCCACCCTTTCTTGCTCTCTTTCTCTTTCTTTTCTTCATAAATTTTTAAAAGTCCAAAAAGTATAATAATATAATAACTTTATATAATTACGTTCAGGAATTATAGTTTCATATTTTTATCTTTTTGTTGCAAGTCATTTCTCATATAATAAAATAGTTTAGCAGTTTAATAACATAAATGGTATAAAGAGTTTGTGTGTGTGTGTGTGTGTGTGTGTGTGTGTGTGTGTGTGTCTTTAAACCCAGACCCATTCTCCTTTCCCAAGGCAACCTTCCTTGGAATCATCTTTCTATACTTTGCATATATACTTGACTGTGAATGCTATGTGGTATTTTTTTGTGTGTATTTTTAAAAGTTCACATAGATTGTTTTATATTACATGTACATATCAGTATACAATTTTGCTTATCTTCTTTCTCATTTAGTATGGCAGTGTCTTTCTGCTCAAGTATGTAGATCTGATTTAATCTAATATACACATATATATTTAACACACCTTATTTTAAACAATTTCTATTTCTTTATGAATGGACACTTGGGTTGTTACAGCTTTTGACTCTATGACAACAAATATTGTAATATTCTATTGATCATATTACAATGACTATTCTTGAATCTGTGTATGAGAATTTCTCTTGGGTGAATACCTGGAATGGAATTGCTGGGCCACAAAGGGTGCTCATTTATAATTTTCCAAGATACAGGCCAAGTGCTTTTCAAAGTTGTTATAACAATTTACATACACTTCCTCCAAAAATGTCAGAGAAATGTCCTCACATCCATGGAAATGTTTTACATTGTCAGACTTTAAACATTTTGTCAATCTAGTGAGAGAGGAATAGTATGTCATTGTTATTTTAATTTGCATTTCACATTTCTTAGGAGATGAGCAACTTTTCATGTTTCTTGATCACTGAAATTTCCCCTCTGTGAATTCCCTGCTCTATTCACCTTACTGGCTTCTTTTTTAACCCCCTGATTTGATTCTTCGCTTAGTGGTGGCTAGGGAGAGTTTCTTAGCGGATAGATTTCCTGAGCAGCTTGTAGCTAGTATCCATATCGTGGACATGACTACACGTAGTAGCTTCTGAGGGGAATTCTTGGGATCTACTACTTGAGGAGCCCTTGCTGAACTTTTAATCCAGCTCTTCTGTTTGTCTTTCCATCTTGACAAGAAGAAAAATTTATTTATTTTTCCAGGGCATTCTTGCCCCCACAGTAGAAGAGTATTCTCTAGTGACTGTTTTTCATCACCTCTTTTCATGGTGCTTTTGATGGTTTTCAGCAAAATCTCCTGTCTGGTCTTAGATTTCAGAATAATGGTGCTTTGCTTAATTGGCTCATTTTCATCTCATGAATACTGTGAGCTTACCATTGACCAAATTTATCCTCATCTCCTTCTTTCTTGGGCACTGGTGACTAGAAAGCATAGAATTAAGCTTATGCGTGTGCGTTTTTTTCCCTAACAAGTGTATGCACTTCTAAACTGAATTCCTGGCTCTGTTCATATCTCTTTATTTTTTATTTATTTTTATTTTTAAATTAAATTATCTTTTTTCATTTTTTTGTAGCCCACATCGTTTCGTGCAATCCATTGGCATCTCTACCCTTGCCTTTCTCTCCTCCATGCCTTCCATTTTTATTTGCTGGTTCATTGTATTCTATTGATTAAAACTGGGGAGTGTATGAATTAAACGTCTGATGAAAAATGAAAATAAAGGCCGTAAATAACAAAAAGTTAAAGATGAGCGCTTTGTGCAGATCACAGTGGAATCCCCACTGAGCTCTGGGTTCTTCTCGTGAGCATGGAGGATACAAGGATGATGCAGGCAAAGAGTGGGGAAGAACTCTCAGTGACTTCAGGGCAGTGACAGACCCCACGCTCACACAGCTGGAAGGAGTGGACAGGCTTGTCTGGAAGTCCAGATTGTGACTCCAAAGGAAAACTTGCCCACATTATCAATCCTTTTTTCTGTCAGTTGCATGAGAAAAAAATATTAACACTCAGGGCTCTTTGGAATGCAGTTCTTATTGTGAGATCATTTAGAAGAGTGAGGTCACTGTGGTCTCTATTGAAAACATTGGTGAAAAATCTTGCAAAAATGTATTTAAAGTATGATAACTCTAAAACATTTGATGTTAAAAATTGAGCATTCCTTTCAAGTCTTAATATGTTTCCGTCTTCTGTGTGTGGTGGGAGGAGAGAAGGGAATGAGGGCTTCCTGCATATCTATTAAGTGTGCCAGGCCCTGGGTATCAGAGACAGCAAAGATTTTTTTGAGAAGTCGCCCTTCTATCTTGGAGGCTGCTTTTTTATGTAACAGGGGATAATGTTTGTGTGGATGCTTTTAAAATTATTTCTCTTTGGTTTAATTTTGTCTTCTCAGAGAGTCTACTTATTTTTATTTTAAAAATTTATTTTCTAAAAAGAGGTACCCAAACCCTTACTATACATCTTGTCTTCATTTTCTTTCACACAGTGGGGGACCTATAGATAATGTATGTTCCTCTCCATCATTTAATATTTTTTTCATTTTAACTCACGTTGTTAGCAG